GGGGAGATAAACACCGACCGTCACTTTGAGACCAAAGGGATACAACCAAAATTTTTCGGGATTTCCCCTCCGGGTTTGAAAGGCACTTTATAATAAAAGGGAAACAACCAAATATATATTCTAAAATTAATTAGTCAGGCATGAATTGATTCCCTTGATCATGAATAATGATGGCCGCTGATTTTAGTTCCTCCGAAATAAAACTGCTGTTTCTGCTTACAAAACATTGCCTTTACCGTACTTTGCGAGAAAGTCATTTTGTTAGAGATGGGTCTTAATAGAATGGGTCCTACAATGCCCCACAATCTGTTAGGTAATACAATTCATTAACATCCAATCATTAACAACAAGGACACTTCAAATGAAGGTATTCAGTATTAAAAATGAGCACTTGTTTACACTAACAAATTCCCTTTCTTACAATCCAAACTTTGCTCCTTTTATACCCTTAGTACTTGTACTCTTCCTATAAAAGGGGCCATAGCAGCAAAATTTAATGCGGCCCAGATGCTGGAATGCTTTGTATTTTCATGGAAACAGTCAACGAGAGAATGTTCACACTCATGATTTCTCGACACTCCACCTTGTTTAAGTTCATGTCTATACCTTTGGTATTACTAAATCAAGCCGTCATTACTCTGACTCAGCATTTACTTTAGTTTAGTTTTAGTAAGAGTTTTACGGCACTTGCAACAAAATAAGGTCATATAAGTGCCGAAGATTAGAGGTGCCACAAGAGAGTAATAACAAACATAAAAAAGAAGGAGGAGAGATCAGGACGATAGATGTTTAAGAGGAAAGAAGGAGCAAACCACACCAGAGCACCCACCAACCACCCACCAGCATTTACTAGCAGGTATGCGGTGGTACCAACAAGGGAGTGTAAAGAAGAACATGACAAAACCCAGTCAGAGATAAAGAAGGAAGAGGGCGGTGGTGATTGGTTGGACACACTCTCAGGAAGCCAAGCAGCTGCACATCAAAGAAGTGTTGGATTGGAACCCATACGTTAACCCTATTAATGTCTGTGGTAAACTTGCATTGTGTCAGGGTGTTTTAAGTACAAGGGTGCACCTTTAGACGTAAGAAATGAGTACATATTCCATGATAAATACAAAGACCAGAAAACTGTAGACATTTTAGAAAGCTCTTTGAAAATTCTATAACATATGCTGAAAAAAGTTATGATTTCACCAAGGTCATGTGACCTCTAATATCAGCGGAAATCTCAGAAACTGCTCACGACCCAACGAAACCATTTTCACTAACTTGCAGAGTCACGGCCACCGGCAGTTCTAAGACATATAACCGACAATCTTTTTTGTTCCTCTGGCTCAAAAAGAGTTCCAATAACTACAGGAGGTCTCTCTTTTTAAAATGAGTGCACTCCCGCTCAGAGTCAGTGTTTCCCCAGTTTGTGAAGACCATTTTCAAAAATAGCCAAAGAACTGATGAAGCCATTTTCATTGACTTGCAGAGTCGCAACCGCTAGTGTTTCTACAATAAATAACGGACAATCTTTTTTGTTCCTCTGGCTCAAGAAGACTTCTTATAAATTAGTGCACTTTTGTTCAGATTCGGTACTTTCAGGGTTTGTGTAGATCGGTTATGGAAACTGCTGAAGTTATCAGAAGTAACAGTTAGGTGGCAAAGAGAGTGCTGATCTCAAGAGTCACAGAGAATGATGTGCAAAAGAGTGGGAGGATTTTACTTTTCCGATCCAGCGGCCATCGGGGTTCTAGCCCTTCAGCCTGGAAGAGAGAGAAGGAGGACAAGGAATAAAATCAAGAGGTTAGCCCAGGAGAGGAAAAGGTGGAAAGTGTTCGTGAAAGTGTTCCCTGATGCAGGATTAGAACGATAGTGAGGATGACGTGAGCTGGATGAAAATGAATAAAGGATTCAAGACCCTGGTTGACAGGAGGGGAAACAAATGCCCTCACCTGGAAAGTTTGGCTTCCCCTGAGTATTTCATCTCCTCAAACTCCTGCTGCAGTTTCTCCCTCTCCTCCCTCAGTCTGGTGATCTGCTTCTCATTGTCTTTCTTCAGCTCCTCCAAATGACGGGTTGTGTCCCCTTGGTTCTCAAAGCGAATCACAACCTCCTGCAAGGGAGCCACAAAAAATAAATTTTCAATGCACAATAAAAAGAAGAAGTTCTTTCTAAAAATTGAAGTTGTAAATGCTCTATAGATAAATGTCACATGCATGGGGTAGGGTCAAAGCCCGCATTCTAAATTATCTCAATTGAGTTGACAGTCAAAGAGCTTGTCAGTATGTTTGTGCTTTAGCGCCTGTAAAATGGCAGCTCGCACTGTATGCTTCCCAGGAAGTTAAGATTGTTTCAGAATACCATCAGGTCTGCTGGGGAAATAATACAGATCGTAAAGTGCATAGAGCTTTCTGTTGAGCAGGAATTTGTGCTATACACATTATATCTATTATTATCATTATTATTTTTTAAAGAAATTTTTTCGCAATATCAGGAAATCTCACTCCGCTCGAAAAAAAGAAAAGTACAAACCATAGTGTCCGAGACTCCTGTGCACTCCTTGATACGTTTGAAAGCTTCCTCATAGGTGGTGATCTTCTGCTGCTGGTCCTCACCGGTCAAGGCTGCCTTCTCCTGGGCGGTTAGTTCATCTTGCTGGACAGAGCCACGCTGGGCCTGGAATAATGAATTCATCATTGTCATAATTATCAATAGAACGTATGTGTCGTGACACGATGGAATCAGGCACTCGTCAGTTGTGAGGCATATGAAATTATTGGTATAATCTTAGAGCCTGTTCATTTGTCTTGCTTTTGTTGCATAAAATTTATCTATCTTGAAAAGAAGTCAAGATATTCGCTATTAAAAGAGGTATGAGTCACCTGGTGTCAGAAAAAAAATTAGAGAGAAAATGACTGCAAAGTTTGGTGACTTCCAAAGCTTGAGAGTCATAGGAAACGGCAAATTTACATTTGGAGTGCCTTCGATCAGTGTTTTTTAAATGCAATTTACACAGAAATGTGTATTAGAAGGACATAAAAAGTGTTGAACCCAAAACAAAAGTTTCGGTAAAAACGGATGGAAAATGCTGGGGGGGTTTTATTTCGGTACCTTGACAAGCACCTGATTTCATCTCGATACCTCACATATGTAAATTGATACAATGGGAGTCAACTATGAAGAAATATAGTTGATACCTCTACCAACCCTTAAGCATTGAAATTAAAAGATAAGACAAAAGGTTTTAAAAAAACAGTGGTACCCGTTTGAGAGGGGAGGCTAACTCTTTTCCATTCTGGGCACAGCAGCCTTAGTTTTCTTCTTTTTTTTTTTTCATAACTTTTATATTTTCTACACATAAAAATCTTCCCAAATATTACTTTTTACTCCCCTTGTAAAAAAAAAAGGTAATATTTGGGAAGATTTTTAAGTGTAGAAAATATGAAAGTTATGAAATGAAAAAAAAAAAAGACTGCTAGTTATGGCAGTGCATTAACCTTAGACAGTAAAACTATACAGTTTATTTTCCCAGAATACCGTATTTCGAGGGCCTACTGATTTGAGGTAGAAGGGTGGATGTTGGGAATGGCTTTTGAGTCTTAAATAAAAAGTTAACTTACAGATCAGTTAAAAGTAGATGAGAACATTCAGAGACAATCATTAGACATTGTTCTTTACCAGTCGTTTCTCAATCCTCTCATGCTGCATTTTCTTCTCTTCCGCCTCCTTCTTCATCTTCTGCAGTTCTACCTCTCTCTTCTTCCTCTCAGCATACACAGTCTCTTCGTGTCTTCTCAGCTCATTGACAGCAGCCTCCTTAGAGAGCTGAGCATCGTTATGCATGGCTTTCAGTTCTTTCAGCTGAGCCCGAGTGCTGCGGATGTCAGCTTCCATCGCATCCAGTCGGCATGGGTATTCTTGCGCTTCCTATTGATCAGAAATATAATATTTATTTTCAGTTATACTTCGCCAAATCAAAAAGATATCAGTTTATGAAAAGAATGCATTTCTTGTAGTTTTAATTAGAGTGTTATGGCACCTGAAACACATTAAGGTCATATATGTAAGTGCTAATCATTAGAGGAGTTACAAGAAAGAAAAAACACAAAAAGAAGGAGGAGAGATCACAACAATATATGTTTGATAGGAAAGAAAGAGTAATCCACACCAGAGCACCTGCCAACCACCCGCATTCATTTCTAATATAACAAAAAAGATGAGATAGAATTAAATGAGATAAGAGATGATCTGAAGTGAATTGTGAATACAGTATAAGGTAAGAAAACCTATGGCCAATAAACAAGACGAGATACCCGACTCACATAAGGGTGGGAAAGCCTTTGTAAAATTATATGTTCTCTATGTACATTGCTTTCCAGGCTCTTTTTCTTCTTGCTTTTCAAAACCATTTCTGATCCAAGTTTTTAAAGTAATAACTATATATAGCCTTTGTTTCCGTCATTTGGAAGTTGTAGGCAAGTTTTTCGGGTTATAACGAGACATAGTGCACCAGGTTGAGGTGATAGTAGAAAAAATTTGGGAAACAGTGGGAAAAAACTCAGGGTAGAGTCAGGATATAAGGAAACAAATTTATTTGAGGAAATGATAGTTACATTATAAAGCTTTTCCAGAGGACTTTGCTATATTTTTAAAAAAATTTAAAGCACAGAACAAAGATGCTCTGATATAATTTTCACTTTTTTTTAACCCAGGACTAGATAAGAAAGAAGGTGGTAAAAAGAGGGGAAAATATATAGTATTAAATTTATGAGGGTTTTTTTTTTATCTCTCCATAAAATAAACTTGAGTAGGGTCTATGAATTCACTTTCTATTCTTGATGTCTTTTGTGGACATCATGAAAGCAAACACAAAAATGGAAACAAAAATAAAATGGTAAAGACTCAAATTGTACTGCTTGAACTTAAAAAATCAGATGTCGCAGTAGGGTAATTACTCACCACTTCAAATCTATTCTTAATATCCAGGTAGACACGCTGCACTTGTTTTGCCTCCTCAGTCTTCATTGTGACTTTGTCGTAGCTGTTCTCTAGGTATCGCATAGTCTGTTGAATAAAAAAGAGAACAGATTTAGATTTCTTTTAATTCAGGGACGATATGTGAAGCTTGGTAAAAAAAATAATTGGATTCTAGCCCTTTGCAAAGAAAAACACAAAGCTTACGGGCAGAGTTCTTACAATTTATAAGAATGAAATTATAACAAAAAAAGCATGTTATACTAGAAGAAAATGGTATCAATTAGAAAATCTACAAATTTGTCAGCGGTGTATATTTTAGGCCAATATCTTCATTTATGAATTGCGAAAGTACCTCAATTTTTCAGCATACCTCACATATAATAAACCCCGAATAAAGTCAAACCTTTTTTTCAGTTTCATTCAATTTTCATTCAGTGACTTGAGACTGACCAAAAAAAGTGACATAGTCACCTTATAAGGGTATTGTGCTGTTGTTGTCGTTTGGGGTTTTTTTTCTCCTTTTAACAGCATTTTGATGTTGATAACATGTGTGAAATCATTCCATAAAATTAGTGGAGAAAAGTTGAGGTTGTGGTTGAGTGCAGTAGTTTAGTGCCCTAGCAGGGCTGTGTACACCAGAGTTTATAGTTTTCTGCCATAAAAGGAACAGCAGGTAGCTCATAATTTTAACTCCTTTCCCAAAGTACCCCCTCTAATTAAATATGGACTAAACGAGCTTTCAAAACACCAATTCTGAACTGACTAGGCATTCAATAAACTTTTTCTCAAGTTTACTGTAAAAAAAATGTTAAGCTAGAGAAGAGTAAACAATACTGCACTTTATTTGATTTCTGAAACGTCTTCCCATTTTTTCTATCTAAAAATTATTTTTGTACCTTTTCAATACTTTAAAGTCCCTTCATCTTTAGCGCTCAGAGCCTGTGTACTTTAATCGGGGTTGAGCGCTATATAAATATCATTAATTATTTATATTATTTTATTTTATTCAAGTAATAGATATAAAACAGACAACAACGATCATGGTTCACCACTCGTTTCTCTGCTTGGATGCTCTCAATAAATTTATGATAAAATAATTTAAGCCAGTCCAAACCTGGGCATCCTGGGAGTCTCCCTTGTCTGTGCTGACTGCATCTGATGAGTCCTTGACCATCTGGTCATATTCAGTCTGCAGCTCTTCCAAGCGTTTTTGTTTGCGCGCTGTCACATGACGCTTGCTGTTCAGCCTCTTCATGGAATCGCATACTTTATGGTCGAAAATGACAATGGCTTGCTGAAATAATGACAGTAAAAAAAATGTGTCAATATACAAGATATAGAAGATGAATATTCTGTCGCCTGTGGAGCAATTATGTTTTTTTCCTTGCACATTATGGACAGATTTTCAACAAAAGTGGGTGAGGAAATTGTATCAAAAGTCTCTTGCTGAGTTGTAGTATTCCATGGGTTTAGTTGATGCAGCTTGCATGCTAAACACCACAAGTAGTGTTGATGGATGAATTAATCATTCTTTAAAAAGAAATTAAGTCAATCCAAGATGAATACTATCAATGAAAAGGCACCGTTATATGAAGAAATTGATCAATGTGAAATAACAAGCTTAGAAAACAAGAAAAAAAATTTCTCAGGCCTGGTGAGGAACAAATCATTTTCATCCCCTATTAGAGGTGTGCAAGCTGATGATATTGGTTCCAATCTTCAAACTTGGGTTTGCCAAGAGACTGTTGAAGGTTCTTTTTCCACATACCTCTGTGCTAGCAGAAATGGACATTATATTCAAATGTCACACCCCTTTAAGAAAGTTCTAGTACAAGAGGGGCATTTTTAAATGATGGGATACATTACTGACAGGATGTCCGAAATGGTGATATTTAAACAACCATTTGAATGTTTTGTCAATCACAGACTTACATTTCAACTGGAAGACTTAGATGAGCATGCTTAAGACATTTAAAATTGAATGAAAACTGACATGAGAAGAAACTAATAAAAAAAATAAAAAAAAGAGTAGATGAAAACAGAAGTGCATACCTGCCCAGATTTGTTTGACAATGCAGCCCGTTCCACAGGACGGTCATGGAAAGCCTTGCTGATGACATGAGAATCTTGCTGTTGAGGGGATGGTAAAAGATCAATAAAGGTACTTTTATGAAAAATTGAATAGTACAGTTTCTCCAAATATAATGAAAATCAATTCAACTTCAGATCATGTGCAGTTTCATAAACAAAAACATTTACTACATTTTCAACACATGTTTAACGTTCATTGATTCAGATAAAATCAATCTCAGAACATAAAAGCCAGTTTCAACCAACTTCTTAAATATTTTACAAATAAAAAATTGCTCAGTAGCCTACTGATCAACTCAACCTTCTGTGCTGAATCCATTGACAAAAAGTAAGACAAAACAAGGTAATTTTCATGAAAAGTCTTTAAGAATGCAAAAATTAGTTTTACCATTCGTTTATTCGGCTACAACTACAAGCAATCATATTTCTTCTAAAACAATTCTTTGTGAAAAAAACCTTAAATAGAAATGATTATTTTTAGCATACCCTATAGGCTCAGTTAATTGTGTTACCACGCGGTGCAATCAGGCGCTCGTCAAAATAATGGAATCGAAGAAACAAGAGGCATTTGGTTTTTTTGCCAGTTTGTCCATTTTTATCAAATTTTTTAGGTTTTTTTGGCTCAACACCTTTCATGTCCATATAAAAACACATTTCCAAGTGAATTTTATTTAAAAACATTGACTAAAGGCACAAAGTATGTAACTTTTCAGTTTCAAAGGACTCTCAAGCTATAGAAGTTACAAAACTTTGGCAGCCATTTTCTCCCTAATTTTACCTCTGAAACCAGGTGACCCCCACCTCCTTCAATCACAAAAATATCTAGACTTCTATTTAAGATAGATGTATATTTTTTTTTCACTGAAAACAATGCAAATAAATAAGCTGTCTGATGATACCAATAACTTCACATGGAAAAAAAAATATGACGAGCACCTGATTCCACCGCCTCGTGACACAATTTGTTTTCTTATAAAACAATAATATATATTACATAAGGCAATGATGCAAACTTAATGGCTAATCTACAGAAACTCACCGAAAGCTTATCTTTGAGTCTTTGGCGAAGCTCTTTCGTTTCTTTACGCAGCTCAGAGATCGCCTCTCTATTCTTTTTCATAGCATATTGAGAGGACTCAAAGTAGGCCTTACGATCTCCCTCTGAGGAAAAAAGTATAGGCTAAGTGATACTTTCGTTTTAATCCAGATCACAGTGGTAAGGTGGGCTGTGAAAACCCTATATTTATTAACTTGTTTTTGTCATTGCCAGCATAGCACAGAGGACGACTGATCAATTGATTAGAAGTAAATGCAAACAGTTCAATATTTAATCAAAACTGAATACTCGATAGTGTATGATATCTTCAGGCTTCAGTCATTGATTTGTGGCAAAAATGAAGACCATATTCGTGTTCAGCATGCAAAACACTACTGGAAAAGTATACAAAACCTGACATGAGACGGGTTCAGGAGTAAAAAATAAACCTGAGTAATTAAGATTTGCTTATTTACATAGAGATCTAGACTACAGGCATAGCATAGCCGTCAATATCAGTGGTCTAGTGACCTAACCTAAAGTGCTAGGTCAACTAAGGATCAGTCTAAGCTAAAACTGGGCATGATTATTAAACATTGAATAGAGTCTAGTGCATGGGTTTTTTTAAACAGTAAACAGTAGTAGATATCTAGATAGATCTAAATCTAGAATCTAGGTGTAATCCTCAGGACTAGGACCATTTTAAATCTGGACACTCCACATTCTATAACTATAATGGACACCTCTATTCTCACCCGGAGTGAGAATAGTGCAGGCGAGTCTTGTGGCTATTCTCACCCGGTGCGCGTTCACCAAATTTTGCGTTCACCCTAAACCACAGAATTCTACACTGTGATAACAGAAAAATTGTAGAATTCTATGCCGTGAACAAACGTTCCATTACAATTGTAGCCTACTAAAAGCGTACAATTTTGTCTGTGGGCAGTGGAGAGAGAGAGAGAAAGAGAGAGAGGAGTAGCGCAAGAATTTCCGGGCAAAACAAAATGGCGACCCGCATAGTTCGGCTCAATTCGAAAAGTTAAATAGCCGTAGCATCTTTGTAGACAACCAAATTAATTTACTTTTGTTATTATAACATCATTTTTTAACTTTGTTTTGGTCAATTTGATCGTCCACACCGATAGACAGTATTCAGAAAGAGACGGAGAGAGAGAGAAGAGGGGAGGAGTTGATCTTGCGAGAACTTCCGGGCGGGTGAGAATAGCCACTTTCAAACTTAAGGAGTGATCGCAGTCAAACTCCTGAGTCTTCACCCTTTTTTCCTTATTGTCATACCTTTACACTTAGTTAACTTACTAATATGATATAGTACATAAGAATATAGATCTAATCTAGATCTAGATCTAGGACTAGATAGCTAGATACTAATACATACTTCAATTCTGTTTAGCCTTCCTTTCAACTTCAACTAACTACGACAACGGGAATGTCCTTACCCAACAGGGAAATCTTAGCCTTCAGCTCTTCTATTTGCTCCGTAATCGGACGGAGGGTAGCCGTGTTACTGCTCGGCATGGTCGCAGCGTTTTTTAATGCCCTCACGGTAGAAAAATTGTTTTCAGGATGCCATTCAAGGGGGACGCCTCCACCGCTGACCAGCCGAAAGTGTTTACTTCAATCGTTGCCAAGGAGCTAGGACGCATGCGCAAGCGGAAGCACTTCCACGGAAACGCTCGTGATTTAGCCCTCTCGATCTTTCGCCTCGTAATTTCGATACTTAGGGAACAACATTGAGGAACCACACCAAGACCATACTACATTGTCCCCAGAATCTGTCCCATTTTCCACCACTGTTTTGATTGAAATCATGAGTAGGCAGATATATATTTTAAATGACACCTCAAATCCATTTTAACCTTTTACCTACAAGCTTGAAGTCAGACTGAATTCAAGTTTTACTACATCAGGAAACACGAAAAGCATTATTTTATTATATGTGTATAGTTTTATAACACTACTTATTAATATTAGGGAAACATCATAACAGGACTAACACTGTGACCATTCCGTCTTCAGTATCTTCAAAAACCGTGGGGGGGGGGGGGGGGGCATATATTACAGAAACAATTTGAAAACATTTGGAGCAAATTAAAAAATTCAACACCAATAATACAGACAGCCTCTCCTATACAAACTGCGTCCAATTCGATAAGAAAATTAATAATTGTAGCCTGACAATAAATCAATAAACGAATTAAAAACGTGCAAACGATCTTGAATCCAGTATTCTTCGAAAATTTGGAATGAAAGAATCTAAATCCTCCATGGTTCTGTTTTATTTGGGCTTGCAATACGACATTAACAGCAAAATAACTGTCACCAACACAAGAAATGTGAAGAGATCAAGTTCTCTAGCAGATGAATGGAAACAACTTGTTTGTTACAATGAGGCTGTGAAATCTGTCATTTCGTAAAATTACTAAAAACTTTCAGTCATTTCATGAAATTATGACTGTGAGGGTCAGTCATTTCACGAAACGACTAAAATTAATGGCCATTTATCATGAAATGACTGAAAGTTTCATTTGTGGTTGGGGCGGGTTGAATTTTTTGTTTAACTCCTTCTTTTTTTTTCTTTCTGGTAAGTGTTTTACTTGCGACTGCATAAGGTCATATGAGCGCGCGGGACACATTAAACTTTTTCAGTAGGTAGGAAATTTTGAATTTTGCCCAGGTGGCGGCCGAAGCTACTCTTATCGAATTTAGACCACCAAGCGATTTAACGTGCGTAACTTACACACGGGCCGTCCGAGATTTTTCGCCCTTGTCCGAGAAGGCAAGGTGAAGATCTTTCCTACCAGAAAATCAGGGGTGTGGCTGAAAGACAACAGTATAAAAAGGAGCCAAGGAGAAGCAGTAGAAATTAATAAGGCTGCAGAAAGAGCCAGGAGCCCAGAGTATACAGTCAGGGGAAGGACCAGCAATACTCAGCTAATGTCAGAACGTGGTCGAGATGTGGAATAACTGCAGGAGCAGTGACAGTAGCTACACCAGCAGCCGTAGAAACAGCAGGAGCAACAACTGTAACAGCTGCAGCAGCAGCAGCAGCAGCAGCAGCATGGCATGAGAGAGGACAGTCCCAATTGAGTGGACATCTTCCGGACACAGCAATTGAGATCAAAACGATCGATAGACCTTGCCTTGTTAACTGACTTGGATTTTATTTGAAAAGAACCAGAGAAGAATTAACTGTATTCCCAATTGACACCAATAAGGTGCTATGATTGGCTTAGCCTAAGTTTTTATTATTTTAAGCAAGGAGTCTATAAATTGTCTCTACTTTCAATCAGGACGTCTATTTGGCGCATGCCACAAGCTGACACAAAGCGAACAGAAATCACTGATTCGAGCTTCAGTTCAGATATATTATGGAGACAATGTCTCCGATGTTTTTGTTATTTTTGTTGTTGTTGTTGTTGTTGTTTTTGTGTGCGTGAGGGTGTTTTTGTGTGTATGTTGGTGTAAGCGCATGAATTAGTGGTGGAGACTAAAGTCGGAGGGTGAAGGAAGAGGTAATCAATTGACGTGCAAAGGTTTGTTTTGTTTTGTTTTGTTTTTACCTTGTGTGTGTATGGGAACGCTTTCTTTATGGGGATGGGTGGCTGGCATCTATCTATCTATCTATCTACCTATCTATCTATCTATCTATCTATCTATCTATCTATCTATCTATCTATCTATCTATCTGTCTGTCTGTCTGTCTGTCTGTCTGTCTGTCTGTCTGTCTGTCTGTCTATCTATCTATCTATCTGTCTATCTATCTGTCTATCTATCTGTCTATCTATCTATTATACACAAGCATATATGATCAGAGCAATATAAGGGCGCCACTGGCCCTGGTAGGCCTTATTATACTTCTTTTCTTTTTTTTTCAGCTGTTTCTGTCTGTCTGCCTCTCACTCACCTGTCCCTGCGGTCATTCCAATATTATCATTATGCTTCTTATATTACTCAAATTCACGCTTCTCTTTCCTCAAATTCAAACTCGCAACGAAGGGTTACTGGCAAGGAAGTTATATATGTATGTTATAAATCAAAAGTTCTTTGATTCTGGGACATTACATCCCAGATTGTAAAGATTATATCTAGGTCTTAGATCATATCAATACTTCATGTTATTTATTTTTGGGTGAAACGTTTCTCGTAGCTCTGATCTCGACTCAATCCGACTTTTTTCTGCGTTTCATGCGGCTATAGTTTTGAGTCGTAACCAGGAAAAAACGTTTATTAGCCCCGTAATTCTCTCCTCTTAGGATTCTCCTTCGGAAATGTAGCTACATACTAAAAATAAACAACATAATACAAGTCCATTGATACGTATTACCAATGAATTTAATAGAAGTATTCATTTTTTTTCATTTCTTAGACTACCGGTACGAATAAATACGAAGCAGACGGAAGTGACATCATTCACCCGGCAGTTGTCTTGACAAGTTTTCGTAAACAATCGACTGAGCGTTCCTTTTCTCAGTATCAAAGTCGTATTGACACATTTTTCTGGTATGAAAACAGTTGAGTTTACTGGATATTTTAGCGCTTCTCAAGTTTGATTTTTATGGTTTCACATAATGTTCATCATGTCCACTCTTTCATGGTCGTAAATTCAATTTTGGAATGAAGAAATAATGTGCCATGGCAAGCCGCACCCGCGAGGGCTAGCCGCTAGACCTACTGACCTACTGTAGCCTACAGGACTGTACTCTACTCTTCTGTACTATTTTGGAAGCCCCGGAATTTGCCGGAAAGAATCTAGATCTAGTAGCAATACAAAATAATTATAAAAACTTGAGGGTTGAAATTCCCAGCGGCTCGCGGTCGGAACCCCAGTGCCGATGACCCTCTGCCACTCACACTGACAGCAGCCCGGGTACATTCCTTGGCGCTTTTTCGGTAGTTCCCACCCCGCAATTGTTATTTGCTGGTTTTGGCCCCAAGAGTAGGGGGGTTTCAGGGAGGCTTGCCCCCCAGACCTAATAAAAGTATGGTGGGGGGTTTCTGGGGCTGGGGGGGCATGCCCCCCTGAATTTTACTTTTACCATACACCCCTGTTTTGCAGTTGTTAGGTTTGATGTCTTAGCTCGGCGCCGTGCATCAAACGTAGGCCTATAGATCTAGATCTAGATGTAGATCTAGATTTAGGTTCAAATAAGGGGGGTGGGAACTACAGAAAAAGCACCCATTCCTTTACAACGACTTCAACATCAAATTGGTTTCTTTTATCGGGAGTTCATTCATGAGCAAGAACTATCAAAATAGGCTAGGTTCTTAATTTGTTTTGATTATGAATCTAAAATAGTGACCCATTCCGTGACTTTTTTTGTCATTTTTAGATTGTACTAGAAGTGGCCTGGCATAGTAGGTTGACCCCCCCCCCCCCCCCTCCGAGAAAGAGTTAAACAGACTCTCCCAAATGCCATTTTCAACCCTATAAGAGTAAGAGCACTAAATTTCAATTTCTTCAGGGGCCAATCCCCACTTGGACTCTGCTGTGGACCAATGCGGCCCCCAAACCCTCGGCAGAATTTTCTTTAACTTTCACCTCAGCTATTGAAAAGTAATATTATAAATGTCTAAGCTGGGTGAAATGTAAATTGTAGGCTTATGTGCTGACATCTTAAACTTATCATTGGCACGGGAATTCCTTTATTTGTATTGGATCCGTGAGGTGAAGAATGTCGATAAATACCTGATAAAATTATATTGCATGTGTGTTTGTTATACAGCACACATGAAACTAAGATTTCTGAGAACTTTGATTCAAGAAAAGGAGATGGATTCCCGGGGGTTTTTTTCTTCTTTACAAGCAGTAAAAATAACCCCGTTTCAACAAACACTTACATCCACTAGCTCGGATTCAACGAGGTCACTTCCAGGGTAAACAGCCTCCGCAGATGTGGGTTCTCTGATTTTTCTCCTCAACGAACTTTATCTATTCCCGGAAATCATCCATTGCACCTGCATCATGAACCCTTTTTCACTTACCGATTGCATGCAACCAATTGGCGGCCTTCTTTCACACCAATACATGCATTGTAAATTGTTGGCATGCGCACGTGTCTACTCTAGCATGTGTCGGGGTCGGATGGACAGCCTGCACACGTGTGGTGACTGTGTGTGCGTGTCGGAGTGGGGGGGCGTCATCTGTACAAGCGTGGAACGTCACAGATACAAACGCGTCAGTCTTTCTCTCCCCCCCCCCCGGCAACTGATCATTATTACAATGATTTATATAAGCTAGTCTTGACGTAGATCTATGAAATGAAGAGTGCGTTGGTCTATGGAATCAAAAGTTGCCGTATGATAGGCTCTACACAGCAACTTAACTTTTTGGCAAACAATCGAGATGACACTGGTGTGCATTTGAACGAATCTGTCTTTTTTTGCACAGCTCATAATAATATATACAGGCATATCAGGCACGACTTGTTACTTCTCCTTATACTTTACTTGCTCAGTGCCAGTAATTATCTACACGAAACCTCATGTTTGCTATAAACTATAACGGACACTCAATGAAATTTTAGGTCAGGCCCGGCGACCTCGTTAAATCCGAGTTCCACTGTACTCACTTATCATGTGGTAATGAAAAGATGACATGCCAACACATATTGTAAAGGGTTTACAGAAGGTAAGAAAAACCCAGTTTTCTCATTTTCATGCAGTTTCAAATTCTTCTTTTTGTGTTATGTTTTTTAAAACTTGTTTTATTATTTCAGGTTCAGAGTTGTGTGAGGATTAATACTAAGACCGGATAAAAAAAAAGATGTCACAACAGGGAGCAGCCCTTCAGAGCTACAACAATGAATTGGTGAAATGTAAGTATTTACTCAGTAACTGATGTATGTCAATGGTGTTTGTGACTGAAGGAAACAGGTCGACATTTGAGGGGGTGATTGTTTGTTTTGTTCTAAAGTTCTAAATCCATCGTCGAGATCAACCTTCAGGTCCTGCTTTTTTTTTTTCAGACAATGAATTACATCTTAATGTAAAACTAAAATGGAACAAAAAGAATTTTTATTTGAATAGTTTTAATGTTGGCTTTGTTTTGTTGACTGAACTATGAGGTCTTCATTCAAAACTTCTCTTCAGTGCCAAAGTCCCCACACAGTGTGGTACACACACTACTCTGCTAAATTTGAGAATATCTAGCTGGCATGATTTTAATGGTTCTAGCAAGTACAGGCCTTGTCTCTTCCTATCTCTGGTCCCATCCTGATGACAACAACGGACGAAACGGCAAAGGAAGTTGACCTTGATTTCACAGGAAACATTGGTTCACTGGACACTATATTATGTTATATTATATTATATTATATTTGTATTATATTGTAATAATATATATATATATAGCTATATTATAGCTGTGTATGATGAATCTGCAACAGTAAATCCATTACAGTGATTTATTTTCCGATGGTTGTACTGTCACAGTTATTTCCCTTGATTTTCTACAGCATCTCGCTTTTAGTTTTAGTAAGGTTTTACGGCGCTCGCAACTGCATGAAAAGGTCATATGAGCGCCGAGGGGGGATGTCAACAGAGAAGTCCAAACGGGGAATCAGGCTTACTCTGCTCACCTCTTTAGCCTCAACAGCACAAAGTTTGCTTCGACTATCAAGGCACCCCTGAAATACCAGTTCTCAAGAGAGTGACAAACATACAAAAAAAGTAGAGGAAAAAAGGACGATAGTAAGGATGAGGAAAGAAAAAACAGCAGTTCCCCCTATGTTGTTCCCGCACAATATGAGCATGACATTGATAAATCAACCCATTTTACAATTCTATTGTGCATAAGATCATGTTAATATCCCCCCTTTGGGAATGGCCTAAAGACCCTTCAGTCAGTAGCACTGGTTGGGGGGGGGGATCTCTCAAATTTTTCCTTTGTTGGTTTCATCGAATAATGGATGAATTCAACCCATTTGTCAACCGTCAGCTTCTGATGTGTTTGAGTTATCCGTGCCTGACTGTATATGTTTCCAGGTCATAATTTAGATGTTCCAGTGTGTGAACTGTTGTCTGTCTGTTGTATGTTAATGCCTATATTATGTTCTTTGTGTAAGTGTATGGATGTGGATGGTTGTTGGGTGCTCTGGTGTGATTTTACTCCTTCTTTTCCTATCAAATATCTATCGTCCTTATCTCTCCTCCCTTTTTTTATGTTTGTTGCTTTCTTGTAATATACCTCTAATTTTCAGCTCTAATATAATGGCAGACATGTGTAAATATGTTGATAGTATGATAGTGTTGTAAAACTCTTTCTGAATTGTATGGCTAAAATGATTTTTCATGATTTTATGGCAGAATGTGGGAGTTTGAGTTCTATGGTTAGATCCTTTTCTTGGAAGAAATAGAAAAGACTTCCTTTCTTCATTGATATGTTTTTTTCTGTGCATGCAGGTATTGAAGAACTCTGTGGCAAGAGAGACGAGTTGCACAAGTCAATCTTGCAAGAGGAGGAGGAGAAACAGAAGCTGCAGAACGATATCCGTGTTCTCACTGAACGGCTTGCGAAAGTCAACGAGTCTCTGGCTAAGAAGTTGGCCTCAAGAAATGAATTTGACAAGACAATCGCTGAGACAGAAGCCGCCTATATGAAGGTAATTTTTATACTTTACTGTTATTCTCGAATGTTACAAGTTAATTGTATCGTTGGGGGCAACCAAAGTTTTTTGTCTGGACAGCTCTGTCATTTCCAGCTGATTTGAACCATGATTTCAAGAGCCATTTTAGTGTCCGTGTGAGAAGTAAAAAGAAAGTGAAAACTAGTGGCAAGCTACTTTCTGGTTGTTGTTTTTTTTACTTTTCCTGATAATTTTGTGTTTCTTGCAAAAACGTTCAACTGTTATAAACTTTAAGCCTGTCTCCCATGAAATTGAGGAAAACATATTTATTTGAAACTGTGGTCTTTTTTGGAAGCATTCTTGACTTGCACAGTAGCCTACTACAAGTGATTTACTCTTTATGCTTCTGTGCTGTTTGTTGATAGTACAGCACTGACTACAAATGTCAAAGCTATAACTTATATTTGTATTTGTACCATACTATTTCATTAGCTGTATGAAATAGATTCATATTTGTTTGTGTATGAAGAGTCTTTAGAATTAGGTACACATAGTGAACTAGCAAATATTGAACAGAATTTTAGATCTTGGGTTTTTTCTTAAATATTCTTTATTCAAATCACGCACATAGGGCAAACAATTCATGTAGCAAAAAAAAAAGAAATCATGAGCGAGGGTATGACTAGATCTAATTAAACACAACTACAAACTTTGTTGACCAAAGTAGCTGTGATAAGAGAGAGAAAGAGAGCGGCATGGTATGATTGTAGGCCAACGACCTCTCTTTTATTCAAGAGCTGTAGTGTAGGCCAAGGACATGTTTATTGCATATGTTACAGAAGTGTGCGGCGGATGGTTTAGCCTGTACATGTCAGTTTCATTGGGAAGTCTAGGGTCATGTGAAGGCATGAGTCTTTTATTGTAGTCACATGAGTCAGTGCTGTTTCTCTTCAACAGAAATTGCATACTACACGACAGCTTGCGAGCATTCTGCAAAGTTAGTTCTGGGGTGAATTTGTTGTAGAGAGTGGACCATGGTGGAGCAAAAAAAGTGAAAAGGCTTCTCAGTCTAGAAAAAATGGCTAATCCTAACCCTAGCATAGGTAGATAAAAGAAAATCAAAATCCAAAACCCAAATCTGCAAAATGTTAAAGTGACAATGAACCTAAAACTAAAACACATGATGCGAGGCATGGGGACAAAAGTCATGTAAAATTTTGATCCAATCATCCGACTTTCTTTATCTCTATTGATATAGTCTGGAATTCATAATTCAAACATATATTATACAATATAACATAGATAGCTCTAATTCGTCGGGACTGGCCTCCTTAGCTCAAGGGATCTGTAGTTCGAGGGATATCTTACAAAGATAAAGAAGAAGAAGAAAAAAAACGGGACTGCAGGCAGTTTGATGGATGCATGATTTGGAGTCTTCTGTGTTCGACCCGTCCGTGTTATACTGTATATAGAAATTTGTGCTTTGAAAAAAATGTCCACATCCCGTTGACTTTGTTTAGTAACTGACACAGGCCAGAGTGATGAATAGGACAAACCAGTCAAAGACTAGGCAGTAAGTTGGAAAATCCTTTCCATTGACATGACACCATCTGTAGCCCGAGTTCATTGGTAGTTAATAGAATTAAAGTAAGTTATTGCTTTTCCTGCAGATTCTTAGAAGATAACCACCCTTGTCAGTAAATGAGGTTCATCAATTTATCAGCCAGTTTTAGTGAAAATTCACGAAGACTACCACTAGCAAAATAGTAGGCCTATTTATGTTCCATTTGAGTCACAAAGGGTTACTTTTTCTCGGGAAATTTATGCTCACAAAATTTATGAGCCAGTTCTTCATTGATTTAAAACATGTCCCACTGGATACTTTTATACTAAATTGTACTTCCAGCTGGTGTGCAATTCCACAACAGTTGACCCCCTTTCTTGTCAGTTAGGGGCTGGTGGTAGCTTAATAGAGCTTCAGGTGTGTTTTAGGGTTTTGTAATCTGTCTCTGCATCTGGGCCCAAGTGTGCTTATTATTTTGTAATATGTTTAAATGTGTTATTTCTTACTTTAATGTGCACTATCTATGCTTTCAGATTCTTGAGAGCTCTCAGACCCTGCTCAATGTGCTGAAGAGAGAATCACAGTCCTTGAAGGAGAAGTCCACTCCTGCTCCCGGTGCCCCCTCTCAAAGGAACGCTCTGCCTTCATGATGCACAAGAATTTGATTAGGGACAATCTATATATATATGTGGACCTCATCCGTCAGACTTTCTCTTCCACACTGACATTAGGAATAGTGTTACAGAAGCAATTTTGAATTTGGCTCAATACTCATGTAACTCAAAACCTTCAAATTTCATTTTTTGAGGTTATTTGTGCATCTGAATTTCCCCTAGATTCTCTTTTTATGAATTTTTGTATACTTTTTATCTTTCATTATTTGTGATTTTCTAAACACTGGGACAGGAAAAAAAATTTGTGGTGTGAAAAAGATTCTGTCACGATTACAAACTGTGATAAATTTTTAGCAGACTTTTCTGTCTTCTTGATTTATTTGGGGTTTTTTCTTGGGATGGAGGTTCATTCAAATCTGCTGTTAATTTTGTGTCCGATTCAACATTGAAGCCTTGTCTGGCCTTCCACACTATTTATATCAACCCAGAAGAGAGATATCCTCTGTATGTACATTTTGTTTATAGCTTCGTATAAAATGTTTAGTATGAATGTATATATGGTGGCATGAAAAATGGTGAAAGTTTTGTTTGGAAAAAAACCCCATCTTTGGCCAAGATGTTATTGTTTTAGATTTGCAACTCTGAAAGGAATAATGTATTTTTGACAAACTGGCATCATTCATCTGTTCAACGGTCATCCATCCCTTTTGCTGTTCTTAGTTTTGCAACTCTACATATTGTAATAAGATTTTTCTTTGGCTTGAATTAAAGGAAAAATATCTTCATTGTCTTAGAAACTCAAGTGTAAGAAAAAGACTTGTAATTAATTGTACTTCCCTCTCAATTATGATCTGAAGATATCAACTGTCAAAGTTAATGTGCCTTTATGTTGTCTTTATGTACCTCATCATGGCCACTGCATGTGTGCAAGTGCTCATGTAATGATGATCAGCTGATTGCTCCACCATTCCACTGGAAAATTGTGTTGGTTGTCATGCTACTGTAAAAGAGTTTGAAAGAGACGAACGCTCTGTCTGAAGACCTGGTTATGTGTGTACATTTTGTAGTTCTTTACAAACCATTAAACTGTAAACTATATCCTCACTTGCCCAGTGTCTTTGTATTTTTTTTTAAGAGGGCAGTTTTATCAAAGAAGTTTGAGTTCAATAGAAATGCATCATAGTCTTCTTTTTGGGATTGAAATAAAATGGTAGAGAGAAATATCTGAGGAAAAGGACCAAAGTCAAACATTTCATGGGTGCCCTTTTAGTCTTACTCCAATGACCTGAGCTTGAACATGGTTATTTTTTTATATATGAAAACACCCACTAGACACAGGTGTGATCATTTTGAAGGCAAAGCATGTAATCTCAAACTTGCATTCGTTCGGTCATGATTTCAAATCCCATCAGAGGCCCCAAAGTTGTATCCTTGGGAGAGGTAGGCCTACTTTACACAAATTTTTCTCACTTCACCAAGGTGGGAATATGTTCCCAGCTGTAGACAGTGAAAGATCTTGTCAGTTTGTTCGTAGTTTTTAAGCATTTATTCAGCTGCTTGCACTGTATGCTTCCTGGGAAGCCAAGAATGTTTTTGAGTGTTCTAGCATCTGCTGGGGTAATGCATGTAATATAGTCTAAAGTGCAGAGAGCTTGCTGTCGAGAAGGGATATGTGCTATACAAATGCTGTTTATTATTTATCATTATTATCCTCCAAAGTGACAAAGAACTACGAGGAGTAAATTTTAGACTTTAGAGATATTTGAAAAATTATCACCCATCTCAGATTTGCACCTCCAACATCAGCATTATATCAGTAAAATATTATTAGTGAGGAGGATGGCTACATGAATAACACTGTAAGCTGATGTTCTTTTAATTCCTTTTTTAAAACCCAGATCTAAATTAGAGACTAGCCAGTGTTTTCTTGCCTGGACACATGATTGTTTGTTTTCCTAGTGAGATGAGCTGAGCAAAATTGTTTGTTGCTTTTCAAGAAGAATGGGTGGTAGGCAGGTGCTCTGATGTGGTTTGCTCCTTTTCTCCTATCAAACATCTATCGTCCCGATTTCTCCTCCTTTTTTTTGTGTTCGTTACTCTCCTGTAACACCTTTCTTTGGCACTTATATGACCCTATAGTGTTGCAAGCGCCCTAAAACTCTTACTAAAACTCAACTTTCTAGAAGAGAGCACATGGAAGGAAAAAGTCGATCGGAATTTGGAGAAAAAGGGAAATAACAAAACAGCAGTATCTTGCAACCAACATACATTTTTATGGACAAAATTAAAAATGGTGCACATTGATTTTTGGTAACATTCATGTTGTTTATTCATACAGTTTGAAAAGTGTTCACAATGGTACAAAAATGAGGAGAAACATCGTCTCTCTAAAAAAGACGAAAAAACAGCTTCACTTGCACTATCATACACATATTTCTTTAAACTTCCACATCTCACAGCATTGCTGTTTCAATGCTCACATTCGTACAGTCATCAGTCACAGACAACTGTCTGATCAACAAAATTCTCTCATGTATAGCTTGGGACGATGACCAAGCCACAAGACGGATATTCAGACAAAATTTTAAAAACCAACAACAGTTATACAGTTTGTATCTTCAGGCATAATGATAAACATGTAGCCATGCTAACAGCTAACAAATGCTATTAAAAAAGTTTTAGGGGTTCTTCCCATTGGAAGCTGGTCTTTTGTTAACTTCCAATAAAATGTTATCAAAAGACTGTAGCTGACAAAAAAAACATATTTTATACTACAGCTGTACACAGCCTTGTAGATTTTGCTAAAGTTCAACAGGAAACTATTTCCTAAAATCAAACCAGATAGTTTTACCATAAAGTGAAAAACCCTGTATCTGACTTTGCTTCAATTTCCATATATATGCACTTTTATTTATCAACAGTGATCATGAGACTCATTTCTTGCTCTGTTTTAGTTTGTAAAACAACAGACATGTAAGGAAATGTTCAAACCTTCTTTCAACATTGAAGAATTATTTAAGAAGCAGAACCACCAAATATTACACACAATCTTAGATAAGATTAGACCTACATAAAGTGGGCCGAGAGCTATGGAAACCCTAAATTACCCAAGTTAAAAAACGTCCAAATTAGCTGTTCTGACTAGGAAATTATATCCATAACACTACCCAGTATAGCAACAGAGCTAGTAGTAGTAGCTTGTTCCCACTGCAAATAGAGAGCAGTAAACTTAACAGAAACTTTTACATGTGTCACGAGGTGGTAAAATCAGGCGCTTGTCATTTTTGAACATGTGGAGTTATTGGTATTATCTTAAAGCTTGTTCATTTGTCTCACTTTTGATAAAAATAAACCCGCCATCTATCTTGAACAAAAGTCCACGTATTTGCGATTGAAGGAGGTGGGGTTTGTCTGGTGTCATAGGTAAAATTAGGGAGAAAATGGCCACCAAAGTGTGATGACTTCCAAAGCTTGTGTGTTCTTGAAAACTGCAAAGTTACAATTTTTGTTCCTTTGATCGTTTTTCTATAAAATGGTCACAGAAATGGGGGGGTTTTTTTCAGTTGAACATGAAAGATGCCGACCCCCCCCCCCCCCAAAGAACATATGAAAAAAAAAAAAAAAGCCAGAAAAATGCTGGTTTCTTAATTTAATTAATTTGACGAGCGCCCAATTTTACCACGATGCCTCACATATGAGTTTGCAGGCTTTGGTTCCTTCATTCCTTCATCAAGAGTGTTTCCACTACGGTCTGTACAGTCTTTGCAAACATCTTCAGGCAAATCCTAAGTATGTCGGCTACATTTCTGTAGGCTAATTCAGTACCATACTTCTAAACGGAGCATTTCACCTTTGAATGATGAAATTAATGGTGGATAAAACACTTTACGTCACAAAAAAAGAAAATTTGGAGAAAATGAAATTATTCGAAAGGTTATGAAAGATTGGTTCAAGATGCAAATTTACAAACACCTTCAACAAAAATTATCGCAGCCATACAATCAAGGACGAACAACTTTTAAATAAAATAACAGGCACATGATAGTATGACTGTATTCTTGGAGGAGCCGGAGAGTACATGTTTGTGGTTCACAACATTTATTAGCTACCGAAGGTTCCTTCCAGCTTTCCCCATCAACAGCACATGGGACAGATCATATAACTCATCCTATTGATCTCTCACAAGCAAAAATTCATTTGTGCAGTCATCAAAGAACTTGACATCATACTATAGTCTTTAACACAGAAGCAACATTACTTTTTCTGAACTGTATCCAGAGAACTAGTTTTTGTACACAGATCAAAGCGCTCTACATTGTGAAATTGCCCTTCCCCAACCAGATTTCTCTCATTGACATCCAATTTTGGAAAATGGTTTTCTGAAGCAAAATCGACTGAATGCACAGAACCATGGAGTTGAATCTCATTTTTTTTTAAACCAGCAAGTACAAGACATCACTATCTCTGATGTGGCGAAAAATTTACTCCATATTCTCAGTAATTCCGTACAAGGTCTTCCTTGGCCTTGCCCATCTTCTTTGGGAGTTTCTTGCCAGAGCCATCCTCTAGGTCCTTAGCCCTGTAGTAATGGGGTGCCACCTCCAGGAGCCAAAGGTTCTCAATTTCCATCACCTATAATAAGAGAGTAAATCAGACACCATATTAGTATTGGAAAATAGATCTACTAAAGGTGAACAGTTTTCTTTAAAAAGAATCTGGATCTTCAAAGGTGACATTTCATAGTATTTCTTCATGGCAATGCTTATTTCAACACAATGAGGCCATGAAATAAAACCAATTTCAAATTTAACATCTGCCTCAAACAGCACTCAGCCAGGCAGGTTCTGCAGTGTGAAAACTTCCAAAACAACGCGGGTTAAAAAACAGTATGTCAAGACTACACACCAGGCTCATTTACATCGCAGTCTCACTGGGCGCACAATGTTTTGATGGACTCACTTCTCCAAAGCCAGAACCATTTTGGACATCTGAGACATGAAGCTCTTATTACTCGCAACAGCCTAAACAGCAATGGACCTTTCTTATACATTTTGGGGGGGAAGGAGGGGGGAAGGGGGGGATGTAGAAGTTAACAACTGAATGATGAAGATGCACTTTGAATGCATAGTAATCATTTCTGAAAAGAATAAAGTTTTCAATCACAGAATTTCGACTGGACTCACATTTCTGAATCCCTTTGGACATCCAGGACATAACCTTCTATTACTTACAACAGTCTAAATTTTTTTTTTAAGGGAAAAAAACATGAGAGAGTGAGTGAGTGCGTGTGTGTGTGTGCGCTCGTGTGCATGTGTGAGAGAGTGAGTGAGTGCGTGTGTGTGTGTGCGCTCATGTGCATGTGTGAGTGAGTGAGTGCGTGTGTGTGTGTGTGCGCTCATGTGCATGTGTGAGAGAGTGAGTGCGTGTGTGTATGTGTGTGCGCTCGTGTACATGTGTGAGAGAGTGAGTGAGTGCGTGTGTGTGTGTGCGCTCGTGTGCATGTGTGAGAGAGTGAGTGCGTGCGTGTGTGTGTGTGTGTGCCCGTGTGCATGTGTGAGAGAGTGAGTGCGTGTGTGTGTGTGCGCTCATGTGCATGTGTGAGAGAGTGAGTGCGTGTGTGTGTGTGCCCGTGTACATGTGTGAGAGAGTGAGTGCGTGTGTGTGTGTGTGTGCGCTCATGTACATGTGTGAGAGAGTGAGTGCGTGTGTGTGTGTGTGCGCTCATGTACATGTGTGAGAGAGTGAGTGCGTGTGTGTGTGTGTGTGCGCTCATGTACATGTGTGAGAGAGTGAGTGCGTGTGTGTGTGTGTGTATGTGTGTACATGTGTGAGAGAGTGAGTGTGTGTGTGTGTGTGTGTGCGCTCATGTACATGTGTGAGAGAGTGAGTGCGTGTGTGTGTGTGTGTGCGCTCATGTACATGTGTGAGAGAGTGAGTGCGTGTGCATGCGTGCGGGCTCATGTACATGTGTGAGAGAGTGAGTGCGTGTGCCCGTGTGCATGTGTGAGAGAGTGAGTGCGTGTGCATGTGTGAGAGAGTGAGCGCGTGTGCTCATGTACATGTGTGAGAGAGTGAGCGCGTGTGCTCATGTACATGTGTGAGAGAGTGAGCGCGTGTGCTCATGTACATGTGTGAGAGAGTGAGTGTGTGTGTATGTGTGTACATGTGTGAGTGAGCGCGTGCATGCGTGCGGGCTGAAACACCAAACCAAAGTGCCAGCATCTGGGTAATAAAGATTTAGGGGGCGCTCTCGTGGCCTAGAGGTTAAGGTGTTGGTCCCTCATTCAAAGGTCCCGGGTTCAAATCTGGGTAGCGACCGAAAAATTTTCTTCTCTAAAATTGTCTCCTTTCACCTCCTTTCCTGCTCTCCAGCAATGTTCTGTCGTCTGCTTCCGTCTCCACTTTCTGCCCCAACCCCCTCACCTTTGCCCCCTCCTCTGGGCTCCTGACTCTTTCTGCATCCTTTCTGCTGCTACTCCTTGGCTCCTTCTTACTGCTGTCTTTCAGCCACACCCCTGATCTTCGGGTAGGAAAGATCTACACCTGTGACCTAGCCTTCTCGGACAAGGGCGAACAATCTCGGAGGGCCTGTGTGTAAGTTGCGTACGTTAAAGATCCCTTGGTGGTCTAAAATCGATAAGAGTAGGCTTCAGCTGCCACGCGGGCAAAATTCAAAATTTCCTACCAACTGAAAAAGTTTAATGTGTCCCGTGCACTCATATGACCTTAATATTATGCAGTTGCAAGCGTCGTAAAACACTTACCCCCAAATTTTTTTTAAAAATAAAGATATAAAAAAGTACTGACCTGTCTCATAAACTCCTTTGTGGTGAAGACAAGTTCAAAGTAGACCAGCCACCTTGGGTGCTCCTCAAACAAACAACTGTTGGGGTGGACCATCACTGTCTGCTGGGACTTGACTGTCTTGTACTGGCCTCCTTTTGTCAGCCGAACGGTGTGGTAGAAATAACCAGCTGTGACTGCCTGCAATGAGAAACAAAATCAAAACAAAAACCCAAGTTATTCTTGAAAGCACAAAGCACGATTTTGAGTACAAGAGTAAATTCTCTTTTAAATTTTAGTACGAATTTTACAGAACTTGCAAAAAGAGTTAGGTCATATAAGTGCCGATGATTAGAACAGTAACATACATAGAAATGAAGGAGGAGAAATAAGGAGGATAGATGTTAAATTAGGAAAGAAGTAGCATTCTGCACCAAATGCCCACCGACAGGAGACATTAAAGCAGCTCATAAAAAAACAATGGTGAGCCAAGAAGAAAATCACCACCTATCTTTAGGAACATTTAGGATAACAATAACATTGAAAAGAAGTAGATAGAGCAAGTCACATCACAGCATCCAACAACTATCTGCTCAGTCAGTCAGAGAAGCATATATCTACAAAATAGCTGCTATAGGCCTACATTTCCAACAGCAATACAACAAAGGCGGTTATTTCTTTTCCTACCCCCCTTCCCATCCCAATCCCCACATAAACACACACACTCTTTCAGATTCCAGCGTATGTCGACTGTCATTTGTTCAATCATATAATGTGCCAAAGACCTTTTTCACCCAAACCTTCAGGTAGCTGGACCCTAACAGGCTCACCAAGGAAATGAAAAACCCAGGAAAAATTGGAAAATCATCCTATTCAAACTGGGGTAAAACTGTGGGAAAAGAGGCAAGCATTGTATCTCTGAACTGACAAACCTCTTTAAAAATCTTCTCAAAATATCAAGTTTCACAGTTGATACTGGGTGCATGATAGGACATTGATACCACTATATTTTCTGAAAAGTAAAAAGTAAAAGTATCAAAGAACACCAGCAACAACAAAAATCAAAATTTCAGTGTATTATCAGTCTTTTTTTTTTTTTAGCTTCCATCAGCTTTTCATTAAAAAAGAAATTTTAATGATTTTCTCGAAGCACAATATCATTGTGCATGATACTGATGTGTAGACTTCTCACCTGTAGCAGTTGAGCAGTTTCATCAATACTAACAGATCTTACACCAACACATGAGAAAAAAAAAATATGCTGATTTGCTAATTTATTAACACACTTAGAAACCGAATCATCTCATCCAAAATCACACAGTGGATGGTTGGAAAGAATCATTGGTAGATCCCACTTTTTTTCTTTCTCTCTATTGTTTCTGTGTGCCTTTCTCGCTGAACTCCTGCATTAAATGACCGTTATCCAATTAATTAGACCTGCATGTGAGCCTCAACCAGATTGTCTGAAAATTTTGCGCAACCCCCCCCCCCCCCCCCCCGCCCCCCCAAAAAAGCCTTAGTGGGTGTCATAAGGAAGGACATCCGAGTAACGAGCGACCACCCCAACAAACACAATAAAGAAGAGACCTAACCCTAACCCTACCCCAAAAAGAACCTGCATCGGGCCTCATCTTAAAGGGATTCGCATGTAAAAAGGCCAAAACAAGTACTAAATGAAAAAAAAAATTTAATTAAAAAACCACACTCCAAAACAAACAAGGAGCATATAGATTCTAGATCTAGATCTAGATCTAAATTTTATATCTATATGGCTTACATCTACATTGCTATAGGGTTTGATACAATAACACAATAGAATTGGAATATGAATCCTCCATATAGACTATAGATCTAGATCTAGATATCTAGATCTACTAGACTAGTAATCTAAAAAATAAATCTAGATCTAGATCTAGATATAGAAAAATCTAGATCTAGATCCTGAAGAACAAGTGAATAGGAATAGATTCTAGGCTTTGAACTAGAAATCCGCATCCGATTCCGAACAGAGGGACTCAGCTGAGTCTAGATTCTAGATCTAGATCTAGCTAGATCTAGATCTATATCTAGATATCTAACTAGATCTAGATCTAGAATCTAGACTATAGATCTAAATATAATAATAATAATAAATAATTCACGCACCTGATGAAATGCTTATTTTTACCAATATTAATATTACAGCACAACCTATGATAGGGTTTGACACAATACAATTGGATTATGAATCCTCCATTGAGGTCTATAATGATCTCTATATAAATCTAGATCTAGATTCTATTAGAACAAGAGAGTCGGACTTGAATGAACCCACACGATCTGAACAATTGAATTAGTCAACAAACGAAATTGAAAATGGCCGCTCGAGCACGAAACTGAAAGTAGATAATTTAAGTTGTCGTCCTTTTTCGTATTCGCATTTCTACTTAGGTTCCGACAATTATGTCGGAAACGCCGACGTCGGCAGTCGGCGGTGCGCGCGTCGGCGGTCGGCACGAAAACGAAAGTGCCGACGAAGCCGACGGGAGAAAAAGGGGTCGCTGGCAGTCGGCCAGGCCTCGCACTACGCACATTGACTGTTACTAGGCGGGCCTAGCGATAGCATCGGCCGGTTCGCGGGTCGGGTCGCGATTGTCGGATTTCAGACGATTGTCGGCAAACATGCAGGTCTAATTAATGTACTCATGGCGCTCATATGACCTTATGCAGTTGCGAGCGCCGTAAAACCCTCTACTATAATTTTTTAAAATAATAAATGTACAGTCTGACCTACTGTAACGGCCATGACCACCTGTATAAGACAATCACCTGTACAAACAACCACTGCCCATTCCCCCTTGCTTATTTTTCACATAACAACGACACTGTGTAAGTCGGCCTCCTGTCTGAGGCAGCCACTTTTCTCCTCGACAATGGGCAGCCATCTTAGACAGTTTCGACTATATTATCTCTTCACTCAAAATAAACACCAGCTCCCCTTTCTGATGGCTACAGCATCATTCCGAATGGAAGCTCACCTTTCTGATGGCCACGTCATCATTCTGGTTGGAAGCTCACCTTTCTGAAGGCCACGTTATCATTCTGGTTGGAAGCTCACCTTTCTGATGGCCACAGTATCATTCTGATTGGAAGCTCACCTTTCTAATGGCCACAGTATCATTCTGATTGGAAGTGACCTCAATCTCCACCCTCTCCAACAACCCCTCCAGCTGGTCCCTGACGTCCCGTGCCCTTTTCATCGACCGGTGCTGAATGTAGTTCTCGTAGCACCACTGCGTGGAGTATTCCGTCTCCTCCCATTGGTTGTACACGTTGAGTAGCGTGAGGTGATCGCCACCGGGGACAAAGAAGTTCTGACGCGCCGTGTCTGCGTGCACTATTTTGTCTTTGGGCCGGTAGAAAATGGCGTTGTTCACGGACAGCATTGCCCCGATGGTGATGATTTCTTTGGAGCACTTGTACCTGAGTTAAGTAAGTTCAGAGTTTAGAAGATGAGCCAAATGACACATCAGACGATGAGGTATCTAAAGTGCTTGAGAGTTAGGAAGATGTGTCAAATTACACAAGTTAATGAGGTATCTAAAAATGCCGTGCAGGGAAAAAACTATCAGAAATAACTTGAAAAAAAAATGAAAGGAAACTTTCAAGAGGATCAGTGCTGACTGAAATTAGAAAACGACTTGTGATTCTTTTTAAATGTCATTTTACAGGATAGGAAAAAATAGAACATGACTTTATACAGCATGAAAGTGGTGAGGGGGTTTTTTTTTCCGTGGGAAAGGTGAGAAAAAGTCAATATCTGAGGGAAGATGCTACTTTGATCCATAATAAATATGTCTGTAAAAAAAAAGAAAGAGTTTTTTAATATTTTGACAACAGACAATTCTATTCGACTCACTTCTCCGAGGCCAGAATCATCTTGGACATCATGGGGTCCACTGGGAACTCGGCCATACGTCTGCCCAGCTTGGTCAGCTCACCCATGTGGTTGAGGGCGCCCAGGGCGTACAGCTGCTCCAGGGCCAGCACCAGGGTCTCGTGAGGAGGGGGGTCCATGAAGTCAAAGTTCAAGAGGTCGTTGATCCCCAGGGACTTGAGCAGCAGGACCACGTTGCCCAGGTTGGTGCGCTGGATCTCCGGCACCGAGTTGTCCTCCAGCTCGTTCTTGTAGGCCCAGGCGGTGTAGAGGCGGAAACATTTTCCCGCAGAGACTCGTCCTGCCCGCCCGGCCCGCTGATTGGCTGATGCCTGAAAAGTGAAAAGGACAAGATGAAAAGAAAATTATTTACACCTCGTCGTACCTAGAATTAACACCTGTCATGATACTGCATGTCGTAAGAGGTGACAAAAGGTACGTAGGTCTGGTCTCCCAAATAGTGCCAGTTTGCGGAGGACCAACTACCCAACCCTGTAAAAACTGAAAGTAACAGACACGGACAGACATGCCTATTTATTTTTCGATCTTGGGAGACAGAGGAGCTTCTGCAAGTGCAGGAACAATGAAGGAAATCGATGTACAGAAAAGTGGGAAGACATGGAGAAACATCAAGAGGCTAGCCCAGGATAGGGAAAGGTGGAAAGTGTATGTTCATGGCCTATACCCTGACTCAAGGTGAGAAAGGCAATGATGATACCTAAAATAAGATTAATATTTAGATGTGTGAGTCACAATCTCTCTAATATGTGACAACTTGTAAAATAAAACTCACATCTTTAGCCCAGTTTAGGCAGTTTCTCTTCCTGTGAGGGAAGGAGAAACATTTGAGAGTTCTCTAGGCTCTTAATAATTTTAGCACTTTCTGAATCATCAACACCAGAGAGAAACTAAGGAAGCAAATAGTTTATATTAAAATCCTTTAAAGTTAGTGACAGGCCATTTAAGTAACAAACAGTTAGGAGTGGACAGGGTCATTAACCAAATATTTTGTATGCCTATCAGCACAACTAAAGGAATTTTCAAATATAATAATAATAAATAGTACTTGTATAGCACACACACCTACTCAACAACAAGCTCTATGCGCTTTACACTATATTATTACCCCAGCAGACCCTATAGCACTCTGAAATATTCTCGGCTTCCCGGGAAGCATACAGTTCAAGCAGCCCGATTAAGCGCTCCAACACTGACAAACTGAGTAGATCTTGTGCTGTCTATAGCTGGGTACCCATTCTCCCCTGGGTGAAGTGAAGAAAATTAGTGTAAAGTGCCTTTCCCTAAGACAAAACGTCGGGCCCCTGGTGGGATTCAAACCCATAACCTTGCGTTAGCGAGTCCGAGAGCCTAATACCAATAGGCCACCGACGCCATTATCATCTAAGGAAGAGGGAAAGAAACCCTAAATTCAAAATAAAAATATCTCTCAGCAACACAAAAAGCAATGCTTGTTACAGATTTAGAGTTTCTATTTTAATTGTCTTCTACTGAGGCCCTTCATCTATCTTTTTCTCTTATTTGAACTTTTTCTTTTTTTTTGCTTAATAAGACCCCAAAAAATCTAAAATCATTTTTTTAAAAATCTGTAACGGAATGATGTCGATTATTCAAAATGTCAACTCTTAATTACTTTTACTGAGCCAAAAATAGTGCCAATAGTAACAGTGTAAAGTACTCCCTTCAACACAATGCATTGACTGTCAACAGACAATACTGTGAATTCATGCTTAACTTCTCTTCAGTGGTAAGAAGCTCTAAAATGTCACTTAAACGTTTTATATTCAACATAAATGAACAAAACATGAGTATACAGTATGATCTGTGAAATTTTCTTCGTTTATGACTAGTTCAACATACTCTACCTTTGAGACTGGGGTCACAACCAGGGACTCCATTCCAGTTCTTGCGTTGTAGCTCTTCTGCTTGCAGAAACCAGGGTCTATGACGTACACAATTCCATCAATAGTGAGGGATGTCTCTGCGATGTTGGTGGCCAAAATCACCTGAAATTTGTACAGAAAGAGGATAAAAAAAATTTTTTCCTAAAATCTCAAACTTGCTTTAAACATACTGTGGTCCCTGAAAATACAAGAATGCTGTCAATTTTCATCATAAATTATTCGATGACACCATAGAACTGCTTCAAAGTGCCGAATTTGTAACAAACTTGCTGCAGAACAGTTGCAACAACTTTTGCACAATTCCTTAATCCTCACACTAAAATCTTAACTTGCTATAGCAGGAATAATATTTAACCAGTTGTAGCACCATACCAAGAAAAGAGCTTGAAAGCAATAGTTACAAAGTCCTTTACAGTGACCAGTTGAAATATATAAAATAAAAGAGAACTGAAAAGCAATTTTATACTACCAGACTCAATTCCCATTTCATTGACCAACATTGTGTTCAGTCTAAAAAGAAGCAATCTGGTTTTGAATGTGCCAGTTATACTGAAAAGCAAACTAAAGTATACCATCGATGAATGCATTTCTGTCAAACAAGAACATAGACTATCAAACATCACACAGCAAAGTCAAAATAATAAAATCTGACTTTAGAAGAAAAAAACAGCCATGTATGAAACAAGGAGCAGTCCATCCAAAAAAAGCAAAAAAGAATAAAAGAATAACCAATCAAAGAAGGAAAATAAATATTTTCCTACCTTTCTTGCATTTGGAGGCGTCGGTTCAAAAATCTTGGCTTGCATTTCTGAAGGCAATGTTGAATAAATGGGAAGCACTATCAATTCTTTGATTTTAGAACCCAGCTTTCTAGTCCTTTCTAACAAAAATTCATTAGCTGTTTCAATCTCCTCCTGTCCAGTAAGAAATACCAAAATGTCTCCCATAGGCTGAGTCACATGAATCTGCAACACTGAGACCACAGCTGCATCTAAATAATCCGCTTCTGGCGCTTTCGTGTAGTAAATATCCACTGGGTACCTCCGACCGGGAATTCTGAAAATCGGCGCATCGTCAAAAAACTCAGAGAATTTCTGAGCATCCAGGGTAGCACTGGAGATCAATAATTTTAAGTCTGGGCGGAAGCGTGAAATATCTTTGACGAGACCAAACAACACATCGGTGTGCAGCGTGCGCTCGTGGGCCTCGTCGATGATGAGCACACTGTAGCTGGCCAGGTCTGGCTCACTGAGAAACTCTCGGAGAAGCATGCCGTCCGTCATGTACTTGAGAATGGTACGCTCGGAGGTGCAGTCCTCGAACCTGATACTGTAGCCCACCTCGTTCCCCAGCTTCCAGCCCATCTCGTCTGCCACACGAGCCGCCACAGACATGGCTGCTACTCTGCGAGGCTGGGTGCAGCCCACTTTCATACCTTTCTTTGTGAATCCCTGCAAAACAACGGATGTGTGTTATTAAATTATATCATTTGACAATTAGGATTAGGATTTCCATATTTCAAGAGTAAATGATGTCCTAAATTTATATTTCCATAGATTATACAATATAGGCTATTAAATATATCAACTATCCAGACTATATGTCTCCTCTAAGCACAACATAGGTATTACCTAACAGGAACCCCTTATGAGCTACAAGTGCAGACTCATACTCATGCACTGAAGATTTTGTAATACGTAAAGAAAGCTTAAATTTGGAGGATTTGGCATTTAGAAAGAGGTAGAAGAGTCCATTATCACAAAATTTCAGAGTGTAAATTTGCACAACAAAAGCTAAATCAAGCTAGGTCAAATTACTCAAATGGAAATGAAGAGCTTGTCCCTCACCAGATATGTATAATAGTCTCCATAAGCAATAAAACTTTAAGCAATATGGAAAGCAATTAGAACCCTCCAAAGTTTGGCAGTCTGTAATACTGCAGCGCCTTTTGTTTCCTTGGTGAACTAAAAAAAACAACCCAAGTAACCTCACAAACATTTCCAAACCTGAGAATACTTTAGAACAGGGGTAAATCAGTTAATTTTTTTTATATTGACAAAATTCTGGAAGTACTCTTTGGAAGGAAAAGAACATGTCAGTACAATGCCCACAATTCAATTTCACACAAATATGGGTAATCTTACATCCTCTGAAGCATGAGCATTTCTTGATGTGGAACGACACCCTTTGCAAAACACTGCCAAGAAATATCTACATCTCTAAAACAATAAACCCCTGGGTTACCTTCCTCAGACCCCCCCCCCCCCAAAGATCTCTTAGGTATAGACAAAGCTCTTCCACCTCAGGGCACTTGATTTTAATGTTAATTTTGACACTTTCGCTCATTTCCCAGCAAGAATACCTTGAGCAGAAAAGAGAAGATGTACAACAGATGATACAAAGCAACAGAAGCTTCATCAATCCACATTTTTTTAAAAAATTTTACCCGCAAATGTTCATGACAAGAATTATGACATCGTCAAAACCCTCTGTTAACTTACAGCTTCGTGGAGATATTGAGGGACCTGTGTGGTTTTCCCTGAGCCTGTTTCTCCTTCAATGATGAGGACCTGGTGGTCTCGCACTGCCCGAATCAGATCCTTCTTGAACGGGTAGATCGGGAGGCTCTTTTTCGTTTCCTCTATGGATGATTTCTTGTCAAGTTTTGGCGCAGATTTCTTTTCTTTGACCTGAAGTAGAGTCAGTGATAGTTAATACTATGTTTAACATATTCAATAGCGAAACATAATCACATCCATAGTTCAGAATGGTCATTCAGTCATATAACACATATTCTATGTTTACACATTTTGCAACAAAAAAATGTCACTTTTCACTCTTCATACTTATTAAAACCATTTCGTAAAAAGTTAGAAGCGACTCAATCAACCACACATTCACAACACAGGTTTTCTCTTTTCAAGTATGTGTCCTATGATACAAACTTAAAAAAGTAAAAGCTAGAAAATCAACTTCCAGGTAGAAATCACAGCACGAAATACTGTCTAACAAAAAAAAAAAACCACTTGAACTCTGCAGGATGAGTCTGCTTGCCAAAGACCAGGGGTCAACATCACTCCTTGATGTAGCATAAAGAAATTGAAAAGAGGGTTGAGTTCGCTTGTAGTTACATTACCAATTCAAATTCTATTCACTCCACTATTGTATATGGTACTAGAAAGATTCCCTCCACAGAAGAAATATGACACTTAATATACTTTTCTTGAGCCCCTGACAGCAAACTCCACTTACATTTACTGCCAATGAAAATCAATAAGCTCGCATACATTGCCAAAATTCAAAATTCCTCTACTGTTGAGGACTTAAATCATACAGTTACAGTTGCTATAGAACGCATTGTCCATGCCTAAAAAATGTACATTCTGAGAGGCCAAAAAGCTAAAACTTTAAAGACCTCAACAATCACATATCATTTGAAAAGGCAGAAGCTTTTGATTCTATGTGCGCTATAACATGTTTTTAAATGCATTTAATATTTTCGTAAATATCCAAAACAGGGCTCTACAATTTTTTTTACAACTGTAACCCTGTATAACATTAATCAAGATCCAATTCAATGCAAGTCCTACTTCGACTCCCATTGAGCAATACTTTCCACACTTACTCTTTATTATAATATGGCTCTTTTCGTCTATGCAGACGGTCAATTTAGCTTAGCTTAAGATGGTCTCAAGGTTTTCTTCATGCAGCTTCTTTCATGGCTAATTCTTCCTATGTTTGAAGCGCATATTCTGTCGCAGTGCTTGCATGTCAGTGACGTAGATCGAAGCTCTGTATGTCCGCTGTTTTCCTTTCGTCGTTGGCGCTTCTCAGCCTGGTTGTTTCTAAAGCTGCTCTCTAGCATTATAGTTCGTTCCTTTATCATTTTCCTCCATGTTTTCCTGTCTTCAGCTATTTCTTCCCAGATGCTAACATCTACTCCAAGCTTAGATAAGCTGTTTTTGCAGGTGTCTTTGTACCTCAATTTTGGTCTTCCTCTTTATTAATTTGTTTACAAACAGTGAAACCCTGACTAATCTTAGTTTAAACATTTGTCCTAGTTTTCAAGGGTCAAAACTCATTATAAAAATCACCATTTATCCGAAATACTCGTCTACCAAACTCCCCCACACTCACCTTATCTTTCACTGTTCCGGGCATCTTAAGCGTCTGCACAAACTCTATCTCTTCATCCATGATAACCTCATAGTCCTTCGACTTCTTTTTATCTTTGGCATCCTTGGCCCCAAACTTCATGATGGCTGCGCTGAGGTGTTCCTCCTCCCACCGAGATTGCTCGGAGCCCATGCGCTGCTCTGACTTGTCTTCCACATATTTCTCTTGAGGCTTGACGTCGTCTTTGGGTATGTAATAACGATCAACCTTTTCCAGCTCTCCTGCTGCGCGATGCTCCTTGGCCAGTTTTAGGACAGTCTTCTTGTACTCAAGATCCTTTTGTTCCCGTTTCGTAAGCCTTGAAGACAAAAAGAAAATATAAGACATAAAATTTATTAATGTGCTGGCAAAATCAAAATAACTTTAAAATTTCACTTCTTAAAAAATTAGAACCCAACTCTCTACTTAATAATAATAGATAATAATAGATAGCATTTGTATAGCGCATATCCCCGCTCAACAGCAGGCTCTATGGGCTTTACACTATATTACTTCTGACTAAATATCTTACTTCCCTGATTATTTACCCCCCCCCCCCCCCCCAAAGACCAATGATAAATATACTGAAAATATGTTCCCGATAAAGACTCAATCTTACTAAAAATTCTCCTTTATTACTTCCCCAGGATATAATATCAACCGAGATAATTTGAAAGATCCTCTTGTAATCAATAAATACCTGCCACCAGCTATCACAGGAAGACATATTGTATAATGTCTCATATCTAATGAATATCTGACATTTACCAAATAAGAAGATACCCCATCCAAACCCTCACCCTACCAAAATCCAAAAAACAAACAAATTACAACAACAACAAAAAATAAATAATATTGTTATCTTAAATAAACACTTTCACACACACACACAACCCCCTCACTCCTTTTTACCTCTCTCTTCAACTAACACTGTAAACCAGCTGGGGGTACTGTAGTTAAACCTTACTTTTCTTTTCCAAAAAAACGAATCTCATCCTCAATGTCCGCCTCAAGGTCCTCCAGCTTGTCGTTGCCTCTCTTCTTCAGGTAATCCCGCCGAGATTGCTTCCGTAGCTCAGGGATGATCTTCTTCCTGTCCTCCTGCTCCAGCTTTAGCCTTTTCTTTGCTTCTTCATATGCCTTGAAAGAAAGAAAGCAAAGAGTATTCAATATATTAAAAGTTTTTCGTGGCAACTACCAGTGTTACGGCACTTGCAACGCAAATAGGTCACGTTAAGTGTCGAAGATAAGAAGTGTTACTAAAGAGTAACGTACAAAGAAAAGGAGGGAAAATAAGGACAATAGATTTGTTATAGGAAAGTAGGAGCACACCACACCAGAGCACCAACCATCGACTCCCCATCAAAAGTTTAAAATACCTAGTCTTATTCACCAATACACCCACTACTCTCCTTTTCTTTACATCCTGGCATTTAAATAATGGAGAAAAAAAAAAGGAAGAACAAGACCAGTCAGTCTATCTCCAGAGATGCAGCTATGGGTACACTTATGGTGAACGAAGGACAAGATGGAAGTTATAAGGAAGGAATAAAACCACATTACAAAGTAGTTCTCACTATTTGACGGCACGCTTTATTTTCCAATTGTGTTAAATCTTCCACTGATGTGAAATTGAAGAACTTGAAATGCCTTCTCAAGCTATAGAGTTTGATGTTGTGGTCATGGTGATCTTAGATGGCTTACGATTTGAGCAAACAAAATCGTCTATTAATGTGGAGAACTATTAATGGTGCTGATTCCTGTTTTAATCTTTTACTCATAAAATTGAAGAGCACCACAATCTTAATCCTTAAATATGGCTCTCCAAGCCAAGTCTTACAAATGTGTCATGACATGGTGGAATTAGGCACTTGTCAATTTTTTGGCATATGGGGTTATTGGTATCATCTTAAAGCCTGTTCTTTGTCTTGCTATTGGTGACAAAAATATCCATCTATGTTGAATAGAAAGTTGGAATATTTGCGATTGAAGAAGGTTAGGGTCGCCTGGTTTCAGAGGTTAATTTAGCGAAAAAATGGCCACCAAAGTTTGGTAATTTCCATAGCTTGAGAGCCCTTGGAAATGTAAAATTTACATTTTTTGTGCCTTTGATCAATGTTTTTCAGTAAAATCCACGCAGAAATGTGTTTTTATACGTATATGAAAGATGTTGAGCAAAAAAATAAGAAAATAAGAAAAAAAATGCCCAACGGCCAAAAAAATGCCTATTTAATTGATTTCGTTATTTTTATGAGCACCTGATTTCCCCACGATGCATCCCAAATAATTTGTGTTGTATTCACAGACAGAAAGACATGAGACTGAAAAATGCAAATGACATTCATCAAAATAAATGTCCACAACAAACCTTTTTATCAGACTTTGACATGACGCTCCGAGTCTTTTCTTTATCCTTGTCCCTCAACCTTTTAGCAAACTCATCTCTTTCCTTTAGGTCTTTCTTTCTCTCCATGTCAGGATCAGAATCATCATCTGAACTGGCACCCTGATTGTCTTCTTCACTGTTTAAAAAAAAAATACAAAGAAAATACTTTAAAATCCACACAAATTGCGAAAAATCAAAACACTTGTAGATTTAAAGGAGTTTCTCATAAATATCATTCGTCAAAACCCTACAATACTGAAGACACCCCTAACATTCATTCACACATCCCGAAATTTTTTCAAAGAAGCAATTTGCAAAAAAAACAACACACACAACATGAAACATCCTGTCTTCAGTTTCCAACACACTTTTGCACAATAATTTTTTTTAAATGCACAAACTGTGTTTTACCCCAATACACAAACTGTAGCTCCCAATTTATTTTTCTGAAGAAAAAAAAAATGTAAACTTCATATTCATATCAAGCAACAACAAAAAAATTGGGGGGGGGGATTTAAAACTTGTTCGTGGCGGTAGCAAATACACTTTAATTTTCGGTAGGCATAAACAAACCCTCTAGCAATGATGACTAAAATCCTCAAAAAGCCAGTTACAAAAGAAACAGAAATCATAAGACAAAGCAGGTGAAGAGATGATCAGAACTTATTACACTTGCACTCTTGTCTTCGTGATATCCTCATACCCGGTTTCATCTCATTTCTGAGAATGTTACCAAAAAAATACAAAAATACAGGAAAAGATGTGAAACAGTATTGAACAAAATATTTTTACCTCTCCTCTTCCTCTTCATCACTTTCTGAGGATGAAGATTCCTTCTTCTTGCGCAGGTGTTTAGAGCGGCTTCCAAACTTTGGTGCCTGAAATGTTGAAAAAAAAGCCACAAGATATATAGTATGTAGGAAATTATGTACGTTTTACATAAACAACGTTATTTTTCAATGGACATGAGTATCAGACGGACAATAGCGAGTTAAAAAAGGTATGAGGGAACATTTGTAAAGAAAATCTTTAACCATCTCATTGGTGCTCATATGACCTTATGCAGTTGCGAGCACCGTAAAACCACTTCTAAAACAAAAACCATCTCATATTCATTCTCCATGACATTAGTTTAGTACAGATGCTTATGAACACATGATGTGGACAGGCACACACTCAGACAATATGTAAATTCGTGTGGTGTGTGTGTGTGTGTGTGTGTGTGTGTGTGTGTGTGTGTGTGTGTGTGTGTGTGTGTGTGTGTGTGTGTGTGTGTGAAAGAGAGAGAGAGAGAGAGAGAGAGAGAGAGAGAGAGAGAGAGAGAGAGAGAGAGAAAGAAAGAGAGAGAGAGAAAGAAAGAAAGAGAGAGAGAGAGAGAGAGAGAGAGAGAGAGAGAGAGAGAGAGAGAGAGAGAGAGAGAGAGAGAGAGAGAGAGAGAGAGAAAGAGAGAGAGAGAGAGAGACAGACAGACAGACAGACAGACAGACAGACAGACAGACAGACAGACAGACAGACAGACAGACAGAGACAGAAGGAGGGAGTGAGGGAGGGAGGAAGAGACTCTAAACATGAAATAAATAGATACAGCACCCTTTTATGATTTCTCATGTTAAGATCACCAGCAAGAAAAAGACACTGTCAAATAGAAATACCTTGAATGTTTCAACTTCCATTTCCTCCTCATCATCATCGTCGTCATCATCATCGTCATCTGCATCTAAAAGTTGATAGTTCTTGTTCTTTTCCTCTATTTCTAGTAACTTTTGCTGATCAGCTGTCAGTGTCTTCTCTTTTTTCTCTTTGTGAGGAACCTAGACAGAGAAAAGTGTCGACCAATAACTCAACAAAGTGTAACAACCTTTCCAAATCCTAAATTTCATATCAGAAACAAAATACTAAATGACACCTAAAAAGTTTCCGTACTTTCCATAGTGCTCTTAAAATCCACACTTCAGCAACGATAGAACAAAAAGGGGAAAAAATAAACAACAGACAGATTACGCTTTAAAAAGCAAGTAAAAAAGTGAGAACATTACATAGTATTTCACATAAAAATTGCTTTAGTTAAAATGTAAAATACAGTTCGAACCTCTGTAAGAGAGTAACCCATTGTCAAGTAGAAAAGTGGTCGTATAAGAAAGATGGCCGTCTTAGGCAGGACTAATCAAGATGAAGAAAACAAACTATTCCCTTCTGAGGTCCCAAATGAAGGTAGCCACATTGTTGTTGCTGTTCTTGTTGTTGCTTTTGTTTGCTTTTTTAATTTTGTTGGCGATTTTGTGCAAACGAGTAAGAACGATCGAGTGCCATGTTAAAACTAACACGTGGGTCACCACCACTTGGAGAACGAACGACGCTTCTGAGACAAGTTCATGTTGACGTCCATTGTTACTTTGTTACAGACTGGGTAAACAGTGACCACTTATCTCACTTACGCTTTTTGTACGAGTTGTGGGTGGGGCTTATGAGTTGTGAGGGATCACACGCTTACCTCACCAGCAGCTGAAAAGTTGTGACTTATGGGTCAGCAGTGGGAGGGGCCAATGCAACATGATCAGTTGGAGGGACTAGCTAAAAACAACAACAGGTGACTGGATTATGATAGCTCTCCCAGGGGCCAATGCATGATTTATGACGATACATAATGGAGTCACTAAAGTCGCCGTCCAAGACAGGAGTAATTGTTTGATGTGATGAGGGTTGTGTGTTAAAATATGGTGGCCGCAGCTGAGTCGGACAGGTGGCTGTTTTACACAGTGAAATTGTATAGAAAAAAATGGCAAGGGAGTAAATGGAATGTGGCCGTTTGTACAGGTGGCCGTTTGTACAGGTGGCCGTTATGGCAAGTTCGACTGTATACTACAATAACTTTCTATTAAAAGGTAGCCTGGTGCCTCGTTTCAGAACTCCTAGTTTTAAAACAATAATTCTTACAAAAGGCAAGGGTTGGGG